GCTTGCGAGTGCTCACTGATCAACAGGCGCCCTGGGAATTACATGTTTCAAGGCTCCTTGCATGTTGCATGTTGTAATGTGAATGCTCAGGAACAATGAGCCCTGGTCTCTGAGGGCTCATCCAAATTTCTACTTTCCCCTGGGAAATGTTATGTATTAAGAGTAGCTGCAGTTCTCACTCAGGGCCACCAGTATGCAAATGAAGGACTGAGAACTGCAGCTCACTGATTGGTTAGCTAGTTGGGAGTTGTTATTGTTACAAGTTACTTAGTATTATATAAAACAGCCATATACATATGCAAGTCTGTCTGTCTCCAGGAGCAGTTCTAACTGCTGTAATAAAGAGTTGTGAATCTAAGAGAGCTGTGTCCTTCGTCCATCATTCCCTCTATATAACAGGAAACCCCTTCCTTAAGGCTGAATCAGAGCAAGCATCAATCGGATTTTCCCCAGATTGACGCTTGCTCCAATTCAGTCCTACAGAGCAGTTTTCCCAAAGGAAGTGGCAGGGACAAGTGGGAAACTGCTTGATCCCATGCCTTCTAGGCGCGGGAGAAGCAGAAATGTGGGTAAGCCTTAAGATGCTTGTTGCAAATACTAGGCCAGGCATAGACAAACTCCAGCCTTCCAGATGTTTGGGACTACAGTTCCCATCATCCCTAGCTAACAGGACCAGTGTCAGGGATGATGAGAATTGTAGTTCCGAACATCTGGAGGGCTGGAGTTTGCCTATGCCTGTACTAAGCTCTTAGAAGCCCTATAAAACAACATTCCCAAGTGTCCCTGGCATTAAGATGTTACCAGTGCAACACTGAAGACTCAACACTGAAGAGAAAGAAAGACTCATTCCCTGTATGGGGCAGCTGCATATTCCTGCATTGCAGGGGTTGAACTAGATGGTCCTCAGGGTCCCTTCCAACTCTATGATTCTGTAATTCTTTGATTCCAAATTCTAAGTGCAAGAACTTTTTTTGGGTGGGGGAGGGAGGGAATGCTGCTAGATTTGTAACACAGCTGAGTAGGAAAAGTTCATATGTTGAGAAATGTAACTGTGAACTCAGGTGACAGCATTATTTCTAACCTTTAACACTTTCAGAGTTCAGAAAATTACATTCCCTTTCATTGTCTGCAGCCTCTGCAGGTCTGCCTGCCCTATCAGTCCATCATGAGGCACATAAGACACATTGTGGTGTTCCTGGGCAAGGCTGCCATAAGTTATGCAGCAGAAGGATTTTCTAGTCCTTGCTTCTAGAGAGAGAGCTTCTGCCACTTGGGGGGTACCCAGCAGTGGGCAAGATCCACCAGCAACCTGACTTAGGGCTCATCCAGTCTTGTTGCTTTCTCCCAGGGAAACACAATATTTACCGCTGAATCAGAGCAAACGTCAATGGGGTTTTCTCCCATATTGTTACGAAGGTTTCTTGTCACCCGCAATCTCTGCCAAGCAGCAGCAAGATTCCAGGGGTTCCATGCACTCAGCCAGGGTTGTCGTTTCCATTGGGGAAACTGAGTCACAGTGGAGGCTAGTTCCTTTAAGAAATATGGGGCTTATTTTAAACGTATTTGCACCTAAAGTCTTCAGTAGAGGGGGTGCAGAACATTATACCCCAATAATGTCTCTCATTGTCCCTCTCATAGCTTCAGCAAGCTTGGCTCCAGAGCTGCTGTCAGTCATGGCACCTGGTCTCTCGGTGCAGTCTCTCCAGCTAGAGCTACTTTTGCCCACTTCCTCCTCCTTGTTCTCAGAACATCTTTAGATTTCAAAAAGGACACCGGTTTTTGTGACATCATGACCCCTGTCACCTTGGCAACCTCCCAGATCTCCTGGTTTTGTCTACTCCTCAGAGTGGTAGCTTTCTGCACTGCCAAATGCCCTTTTAATGGCCCGGTGTTTCTCAATGGCTTTGCACTTAGCTAGCCTGGCCAGGCTGGTTTGCATAAACTAACCCAGGAATTCCTAGTCTGGCACAGTTCTGCAGCTTGCATTTCCCCCCACATGTGCCAAATGTTATCTAAATACTAAAAGGTAAAGTTAAATGTACCCCTGACCATTAGGTTCAGTCGCGGACGACTCTGGGGTTGCGGTGCTCATCTTGCTCTATAGGCCGAGGGAGCCAGTGTTTGTCTGCAGACAGCTTCCGGGTCATGTGGCCAGCAACACTAAGCCGCTTCTGGCGAACCAGAGCAGTGCACGGAAACGCCGTTTACCTTCCCGCAGGAGTGGTACCTATTTATCTACTTGCACTTGACGTGCTTTCGAACTGCTAGGTTGGCAGGAGCAGGGACCGAGCAACGGGAGCTCACCCTGTTGCGGGGATTTGAACCACCGACCTTCTGATCGGCAAGCCCTAGGCTTTGTGGTTTAGACTGCTGTTTATTAATTTCAATCTTTCATTAACAGACTCTGGTACTCTAGATCTATGGCATTACCAGCTTCTTACAAAAGACCAGAAACCATCACTGACTGTGGTTTGGAGTTAAGCTTGCTGAAGTTATGGGAGGGGCAACAAGAGACACTATTGGGGCATAAAGTTCTGCACCCCCTCCATGGAAGACTTCAGGTGTTAAATATGTGTAAAATAAACCCCATATTTCTTAAAGACATTAGATTTTGCTGTGCCTTGATTTTCCCAGTAGAAACACAACCCTGGGTGAATGCATGGAACCCCTGGAATCTTGCTACTGCTTGCCAGAGATTGCAGGTGGTGCAGAACATTCATAACCACATGGTCATTGCAGACTCTCATTTGAGCAGAATTTATAGAGAGTGTTGTCAGTGCCAAATGGATTGCTGTAGCAAACCTTCATCGTTATGTCAGCTTCTTGCGAATGCTCCTTGTATGCTGCCTTCAGTCATTCTGATGGTGATGGATGGCATGTGATCCCATGAATTTAATGGTTGCCTCTCAAGTGACAAGTACTTCCTCAGTGTCTGTTCATGTTTCACTTCAGCGCTATGTACTAGGAAATCCCACATGCCAGTCTCACTTTTCTCAGTGTCCGTTGACAGATTGCAGTGTTTGAATAAGAAAGAGCATTATCTTCAAGTGGTTGTGAATCTCTGCTTCTCATTTGCCCTCTGCCAGGTTAAACATTTGCAGTGTTACACTAGATGCTGTCAGGGGTTTCCTCTGCCTTGAACAGGGAACTGTGAGGTCCAAGGTTGAGGCCTTTGTTTGGTGACTTCTGCCAAAGGCTAAGACCTCTGTGTCCTCATCATTGTGGAAAAAGCCTCTGTGATTGATTGGGAGGCTGAATGAAGCCTCTAGATTGGTTAGGCCTCGGATAAATACTTGAAGAATTGTATTCTGCCTCTGCAACAGAACAGTATCTTGTGCCTTCTCTACTTCTGGCTACCAGATTGGAAAAATTGACAGATTTGCCTATCCTTTTGATAGTGACATAGACCAGAGCCCTAGAAAGTCCTCACATGCCACCTCCCAGGGTACTGAGCCCAGGGCATTGAGGAGGAATGAATGAATGAATCTTTATTTGTGTTCAGCCATCGGCCATAGCAATAAAACAACGATACGATATACAAAGAATAGAAATCAAAAAGTCAATTATATAAAATACACTTTAGGGTTTTGGAATCAATAGTCAAACAGTGGATCTTATTCTGATTGCCCCAGCTAAACAACCTTGCAGCCTTTGCTGTCACCTGCTCATCTGAGCAGGAGGACTTTAGGGCAGAAGTCTACAGCTCCACTCAACGGAATGAGTGGGAGGGCCTGCTAGTGTAGCAAGCCTGACTTCTTTATTGCTTCAGACAGCACAATATGTTGGGTCTGCCCTGGAAAAGCCTAATTCTCTCTACACTCTCCTGAACTTATCTCCTCCTGAGCTGGGCTACTTCTTCTCTCACACACACACCCTGGGAAGCACCATAGCTCAGTGGTAGAGCATCTTCTTTGCATTGAGAAGGTCCCTGGCCCAGTCTGTGACACCTCCAGGTAGGGATGGGAGAGGCTGCTGCCTGGAACCCTGGAGAGCTGATGATCAGGGTAGACTTGCTTGAGCTAGAAGGGCCCCGTAGTCTCAGTATAAGGCAGCTTCCTACGTCCTTATCCATCTGCACACCCAACAGCACAAGATCGGAACTGTTGTGGCTTCCTTGTTGTTGTGTTCCCAAACAACGGAAGGAACTTTATAGTTCTTTCCCAGCTGAATACTTGAAATGTGTGGGCAGCAGGAAAGTGTAGATCAGTGATGGGAAGGATCTGGAGATAAATATGTTTTCTGTAAATTTTTCAAAGTTATAGTCCACAACAAGATTCTCGTGTTTATCTTTCTGGGGCTATAGGAGCATATGGCAGGCTTATTTCTGTCTGTATGCCAAATTCTATTATCTGTTTGCAGAACACTTTTATTGCCTCCCCAACCACGCTAAATATTTACTTTTCCACTTTCTTAGCTTTTACCCCTTTGCTTTCTTAAACTCAGTTGACCTTTCTATATATTTTTATTAACTCTTGGCCCGCATTTTTCAAAACCTGTGTGTGTGTGTGTTTACAAAACCAGTGTGGCTTCTAAATAACAATTTCAACTCAGAACTTATATTTTCAGATTCTTGGAATGGATCCATTTGGCAAGCCAATGGAAGGAATCAGAAATACCCAACTGGAGTGATCTGGGTGCCCAAGGGAGTGGAGGAATTTGCAGTTGATTGAATTGATCACTTTGTATTGAGTAGAATTCTTCCCTACTCCTGCCCAAGATTACCACTACAGAGCTATATTCCCATAACAGTGCATTTCTCGTCTGGCCTCTTCATTCCACAACTTGAAAGTCAGAGAAACAAATACCGTACAATTTTTATTAGCTGCTACCAGTTTTAAACCAGTGGCTGAAGTTTAAATCTGGTGCAATTTTATGCTTCAGAACTCTTCTGTAAGCTGGTGGTGTGCCCTGAAAGCCGGGTCAGATGTTCTTTGGATATTAATATTTACACAAGCCAGGGGTTTAACTATTTCTTCATCTCTCTCCCCACCCCCACCCAGGCAATATCTTTGTGGTCAGCCTGTCTGTGGCAGACCTGGTGGTGGCTGTCTATCCCTACCCTCTTATATTGACCGCCATCTTCCACAATGAATGGACCATGGGCGACATCCACTGCCAGATCAGCGGCTTCTTCATGGGCCTCAGCGTGATTGGCTCCATCTTCAACATCACAGCCATCGCCATCAACAGGTACTGCTACATTTGCCACAGCCTCCGGTATGACAAGCTCTTCAACCTGAAGAACACCTGCGGCTACCTTTGCCTGACATGGCTGCTGACCCTGGTGGCTATCCTGCCAAACCTTTTCGTGGGCTCCCTGCAGTATGACCAGAGGATTTATTCATGCACTTTTGCTCAGACGGTGAGCATGTCGTACACCATCACTGTGGTGGTGGTCCATTTCATCATCCCTCTCTCCATCGTGACCTTCTGCTACCTTCGGATCTGGATCCTCGTGATCCAGGTCAAGCACCGGGTGAGGCATGACTGCAAGCAGAAAGTGCGTACGACTGACGTGCGGAACTTCCTGACCATGTTTGTGGTCTTTGTCCTGTTTGCAGTGTGCTGGGGGCCATTAAACTTCATCGGCCTGGCGGTCTCCATCAACCCTTCGAAGATCATCCCGCAGATTCCAGAGTGGCTTTTTGTGGTGAGCTACTTCATGGCTTACTTTAACAGCTGCCTCAATGCCGTGATATACGGCATTCTCAACCAGAATTTCCGGAAGGAGTACAAGAGAATCCTCCTTGGCCTCTGGAGTCCACGCCTGCTCTTTCTTGATGCCTCGAAAGGTGGGACGGAGGGGGTTAAAAGCAAGCCATCCCCGGCCGGAACAAACAACAACCAGGCTGAAATCTTATTGTAAATAGAAGGACTATTTATTCTGCTCTGTCCATATGCACTATGTAAAGCTCATCTTCTACATGCTATCACAAGGGCCAAATTTGACTCGTACAAATGATTCCACCACCTTCTGTCTCATTCTCTCTCTCTTCAAACAATGGGCTTGTTATTATGCTTTGTGAGAGTCGGCTTATGGTTTCCTAGGTTCTGCTGAGAAAGAGCATACACTTTTGAAGCAAGAAGCCTTCTTTGGCCACCAGCTTACAAGGTTGCCTTGGGGCAACTGCCTTAAGCTCAACTGGACCCTTTTATCCAGGCCAGGACTCTCTGCTCTGGCTGACCAAACTCTTCAGCATCTGGGGCCAAGAGGTCTATTCCACCCTTTCAGCGAACAATGCCTGGGATTGAACCTTCTGCGTGCAATGCATGTGCTCTGCCACTGACGTGTGGGTTTATCCTCTCTCAGCATTAGTGCACGCACACATGTGCGTGCACGCACACACACACACACCTCATTCACATTCCCACTGAAGTCATGGATTTGTGTAAAGATTTGCAGGTGCTTGCCTGTCTTGTTGTTCTCTTCAATGCTGCTTTTCACAGTGTGCCTGATCGATCTGGGATGCGTGTGCTGCACATATGCGATGACTCCCTAAGACAAGAAGCATTCCTAGAAGGGTGCATACAGCCTTGAGAATGTGTTACTTTGTGCATTGTCCTTCTCTGTAGTGTTCTACCGACAGATGTGCCACACTCTGCTCCTTCTGGTGTGCCTCTGCTGGAGTGTGCAAAAGCTCTAGGCCGCATGACCAACTTTGCGCTATATTAGATTACTATGTGTGTTAACCAGTGTTTTGCCACCAACCTGATGATATATCTCCAGCAATTCTTCTTTAAAGCTTAGCAACAAAGAGCTGTGTCCTTGCCAGGCTGAATACATTAGTGTGCCATGAGATGGCTGCTAATGTGGCATGCAAGGTGAATTACAGACCATTAAGGGCTCATGTAACCTCACAGCAATCATCCTGGAAGGAGGCTGCCCATTGGGCTTCTGTATGAGCCACTGTTCTCAGCTTTTCCAATACAGAGGTATGCCCAGAACAGTGGCTTGTACAGTAAAACAGTGAGGATGAGCTCACCTGTAGAAAGGCTGTTTTATTTATATATGCTCTTAAGAACAAACCTTTTGCAATGTATTATTTAAGTGTGCCTATTTTTTAAGGAAATAGCAAAAAAACAACAAAAAAAGGTATGCCTGTGCTGTTAAAAATTAAAGTGTCTTAACCAAAAAGCAGGGCAAAAAGCAAATCAAATCAGTTTTTAACCTGTGGTTGATGGGTTGCTATTTAAATGTGAATACAGCAGTGACATGTTTAGAACAGCAGGACCTGTGGCGGTCCATCAGAATGTACCTATTCCTCAAGTGTCTAATTCAGCCCCAGCAGGGGAGGGAAGAGTCAATTTAGAAAGTTTGAAACAAAAAGCAGCTTTGTGTGGCACAGATTGGCTGGCCCTTCCCCTAATCCTTGGACCATGTTTGCATTGGGGTGGGAGTGGAGTTTGCACTTGGAGAACAAAATAAAGCCACAGATGGATGAATGCATATCTGCATGATTGCCCATGTACTGCATGTAAATATAAAGAAAGCCAACCAGCCCTCCCACCAGAGGAATGCTGGGAAAGGGAAGACCAGTGACTGGGCTGGCATATGATTTGCTGGTATGAATACCTAGCACAACAAGTTCCAGAGCTGGGAATAATTGAGGTTCACTGGCAGCTGAGGGTTATGCTGTGGGTTCTCTCTTTATATCCAGGGCAAGGAATCTGCAGGTGTTGCTGGACTCCAACTCCCATCAGCACCAGCCAGGACAATGAATTTCTAGGATGCTGTAGTCCTGGCAACATCTGGAGGTCATTTGTCTTGCTTTCTGTGATGTGTGTCTTTCTCCTAAGCAACACTGTGCCCTCTCTCTGCAAGCCCAGGTATGGGAAATCCTATCATTTGGGAAAGACCAGAAGTCTAGATAGCTCTCCAATGTTTAATCAACAAATTGGTCGAATTAATCAGTTGAGATCAATTCTGACTGACAAAAATCAGAAATTGGGGAGAAATTGCTGTAAAATTGGAGAGCAGTTATTTTCCCATAGGAAGAAATGTATATTAGGAGAAGCTCACACACAAAAAAGGCTGATGAATTCTCATGAGGACTTTTCATTTAAAGCAGCTCAAGCTGATTTGGAAATGTGGAAACTTGAACGAGGCTGCAGAACTGAAGAACAGAGAGAAACTCAAATTGACAAATTTGCTGGCACTCTACCCTCAGTTATAGGAAATTTATGAATATGGCATTGCTACAGAGGTTTGGATTTTTAGAGTGCAGAAAAAATAACGGTAGGGCTCTACCTCACCTTAGACTTATAGAACTGTAGAGTTCGAAGGAACCACAAGGCCCCCCTGGCCCAACTCCCTACAGTGCAGGAATATTTTGCCCGACCAGCCTCCCCTTTGTCCATATAGATATATAATCTGCAATACAGCAGTCTTACTAAAACTTGAATTTTGAACTGGTTTACAGCCACACACACAAGGGCAAACTGCAGGTGATATTAAATACGTCTTATCTAGCCTGCAAAATGGTGTATTTGTTTTTTGTTTCTTTAAAAAATGCAATTTGCCTCAGCAAGGGGTGATAATTAACGGAACCAGAGGCTGAATGAAGGGGAGACTGAACCCTCCCCAATGTAATTCAGACAGAAAGGACAATTATAACAACCGACAAAAATTAAAATATGAAAAACAAAACCATAAAATAGGCATGCAGAATGAGTAGCTGCACATGAGTTAGAATAGCAAAGTCTAAGTAAAGACTGTCAACTTCATCAGATTATCAAGCCTAGTTCCGGATTTGACAGGCTTGTGACAAGGATTGTATTGAAAGCAATGTTGTATATGTTGTAAAGAATTTCAAATCATATAAAAGGTGTCTGGAGAACCTAAAGGTAAAGGTAAAGGAACCCTGACAGTTAAGTCCAGTCGCAGACGACTCTGAGGTTGCGGCGCTCATCTCGCTTTACAGGCCGAGGGAGTCAACGTTTGTCTGCGGACAGTTTTTCCGGGTCATGTAGCCAACATAACTAAGCCGCTTCTGGCGCAACGGAACGCCGAAACCAGAGCAGCGCACAGAAACGTCGTTTACCTTCCCGCCGGAGCTGTACCTATTTATCTACTTGCACTTTGGGGCATGCTTTCAAACTGCTAGGTTGGCAGGAGATGGGACCAAGCAACGGGAGCTCACCCCGTCGTGGGGATTCAAACCGCCAACCATCTGATCGGCAAGCCCAAGAGGCTCAGTGGTTTAGACCACAGCGCCACCCATGTCCCTGGAGAACCTAGACCTTGTTAAAATCTGAAATTATGTGTGATTTTCTCCACTACATCTATATTCCAGAGTGAGTGGCATCAAACGCCCAGTGTCAGATTTTGGGCTGGTTTCCACTGAGTTGCAATTACTATTTGTGCTGCCAAGATAATATATAAGACCCATTCTTTCTGACAATATATTTACATTGGTATCCACAAAAATATTCAATAACATTAGATTTTGGCAACAAACAATAGTTTCTTTAGTAACATCTATTATTTCTGTCAAAATCAAATTCCAAAAATCTTTCACAAATGGACATTCCTACCCTAAATGAAAATATGTACAAAGTTTATTGCAACCCCTCCAACAATTAGGTGATATAGAAGAAAACAATTTTTTACCTTTGCAAAAGAGTGTGATACCATCTGTGTAATAATTTTAAGAAAAAACGGAAACAGATTTTGAGGGTCACAATTCCCAAATTTTATTCCAATCATTGGGAATACAGTCATACCTCGGGTTGAAGTAGCTTTGGGATAAGTATTTTCGGGTTGTGCGCTGCGGCAACCCGGAAGTAACGGAGCGTGTTACTTCCGGGTTTTGCTGCTTGCGCATGTGCAGATGGTCTAAATGACATCATGCACAGAAGCGGCGAATCGCAAACCGCGCATGCGCAGACGTGGGTTGCATTCGCTTCTGAATGTGGATGGGGCTCCAGAACGGACCCCGTTCACATCCAGAGGTACCACTGTAATTTGTGTGCCAGTATCTAGTTCCCATATCCATATATCCATAAGCTAGAGTACAATTTAGAAACTAATCATTCCACCTCCATTGTGCTTAATAAATTTTAAAATTGCCTTAAGAGTCTCAAAGCTTGTATTTTTAAATGTTCTTTTATACTAAAAATATGAATTTGATTAAAATCTAGTTTGTGTAAATGTTTGACAAAGTTAATGTTATCAGGTTAATAGATATTGGTTGATTATTCGTATATAAATCTTGTAATGTGTCTAAACCTTTGGATTCCCAGTGTTCAGATTGCCTTGCTGGAAAAAAATCTGGGTGGTACGATAATAGGATTAATGGAGACATAATAGGTGCAAATTTACATTGTCAGATTGTCCATATTTGGATAGTACAATTAGTAAATGGATTTGTTAAAGAGTTCAATTGATTTGGTTTAAGATCCTTAAATGCAAGAGCTTGTTAATGAGAGATGTTTGGAAAGTTTAATTTCAGTGTCTATTCTGTGTTGATTCAGTTCCCCTTTTATTATATATAATAATTGTCTCAGTTGAAATGCAGAGCAGTAGAAATATAAATTAGGTGTACTCCATTCATTGGATTTAGCTCTGCTTAATAAAAAAAGGATTTACTTTGGTCTAGGTTTTCGGTTTTGGAAAATAAAAGTCATTATTATAAGTTGCCGTGTTTTCAATCATTTATAAGGTTTGGAATAAAAATAGAAAGCAAGGTTAAAAACACCTTTTGAATTGTAGCTGCTCTACCCAAAGTTGAGAGATTTTTGGTTTTCCACATTTTTATTATATGTTCGTAATTGGATTATAGTTTATGTGAAATAATGTATGCATGTGTGAATTGCTAAATATTTGATTGATTTGGCACATGTTGTAATTTTAGACATATAATAAATTAATTTTTGAATTTTAGGTCCTAAATTTATTTTTTAAATGGTTCATTTAGAGAAGTTGACTGAGCAACCAGGCAGATAGAAACCAGATTGCACACCTCCTTTTAAGCTAGTGTTTGTGTGGAGGGGAGAGAATGCCTATGCAGGATTTCCCCCCAAAGTCAATGCCAATTTTAGAAGAAGAGTTCTCATAAGGACTTCAGTAGAGCTAAGAAAGAGTTAGATTCTTTCTCTACCCCTGGTCTGATAACTACAGCCCTCCGGGCTGATGCAATCTAGCTTTGTTTTGGTTGTGTTTTTTTTAACCAGGCAGGTTCGAATGAGATTTGTAATTTAAAAATTCCATAACACAGTAAAATAGTGACTACAGAAATACAAATCAGATAAGTGGAATATGGATCCTCTCTTAAAAGTAATTATTAGCCCTTACAGACTGTAGCTCCTCCCAGCCTTTCATCCCGGGAAACCTACCTTTCCCTGTCTCTCACCCAGGGTCCTCCATAAATCATCCACCACCTCCATGAGTATACAGTTTATAGACTTTAATAAAAGGCCCCAGACATGGAACTCCAGAAGAAGAAGAAGAAGAAGAAGAAGAAGAAGAAGAAGAAGAAGAAGAAGAAGAAGAAGAAGAAGAAATACCATAAATAAAGAGAGAGAAGGCAAAAGAAATTTTAGAGAAGATACAAAAAGAAAACTCTTGATGTTCCACCTGCCAGCTACATAAAAGAAAGAGAAGTCTCATTTAGAAGCAATTGCTGTTTGGGCCTTCTGAAGAGCACTGCAGCTTGTTTGAATCAGAAGTGAATTGCCAAATGACTCTTTGGCAGCTCCCCAAACCCATCAGAGGCTGAGATATAAGAGCCCTCATTTCGCTCAATAGCTTCCTCTAGGTGTGAGGTCAAACCAAGCCAAAAGCTGGAAAGGTTATTGCTACAAGCCAGAGTTCCATGGGGCACAATCATAGAATCATAGAACTGCAGAGTTGAAAGGGACCGCAAGGGTCATCTAGCCCAACCCTCTGCAATGCAGGAATCTCAGCAAAAGCATCCCTGACAGGTTGCCACCCATCCTCTGCTCAAAAACTTCAGAGGAGGGAGAGTCTACAACCTCTTGCCACTGTCAGACAGCTCTTACTGTCAGAAGGTTTTTTCCTGATGTTTAGTTGGAATCTCCTTTCTTGGAGATTGAAGCCACTGGTTCGAGACCTACCTACAGAACAGGAGAAAACAAGTGGTCTGTTTTCTCCAAAGTTGATTTCCCCTCAACATATTTGAAGTAGCCTCTTCTGTGTGTATCCAGTAGCTGCTGGAGCAGGGCTTCTGTATATCATACCCATTAGTTACAAAGTGGAATGCACAATATGACAATGCAGGTTTTTTGCTGCATCTATAAGAACCAGTGCTTGTTTGTTCTGAGCACTGTGCTCCTCCAAGTAAATGTGATCTTTAATTCATCTCTAGCACCCACCTTTTCTAGGAATCGTGCCAAACAAGTGCAGCATCTCAGAAGCTGGTCACCACTAAGTGGTCTGAACAGCATACATCTCAGGACACATCAAGTAGTAACCAATTGATTTTTATTCAGAGTGCACCTATTAAAATTAACGGGCCTAACTTAGTCATGCTCATTAATTTCAATGGGTCTATTCTGAGAAAAACTATTCTGAAGTATCACATTAGTAAGATAATATACATAGTTTTGTGCCAGAAGCACCTGGGAGTTGGAAATGGTTGGTGCAAGGCACAATAAACCAGTGAATCTTTATTATTAGGATCACAGATCAGCCACTAAGTTACAATCAACAAATACAGTTTTACAGCTTACAGGCCAGCAAAAGACTATGTAGAATTAACAGCGCAGCAAAGTGTTAGGAAGTGTGTCTTTGTGTTGTTGCACATTCAGTCACACTAGAATGGGTTGCTAAGCGCTCGTGCAGTTGGCAAGGAGATTTAAGCATCTGGTTTCTAGTAGCACGTGCAGATGCACAGAAGTTTGCCACTTTGGTGGTGATTTAATTAGTGGAGTTTGACAGAAAGAGGGAAGGGTTAAAATTATCAGATCTGCCTGGAGGTTTGGTTTAAACAGGTATTATCAGTGCTTTTTTCTGGGGGGACGCAGGGGTACACATAACCCTAAACATTTTGTGAATCTTTGTACTTTTGTCCATTTACTGTATTTATTTTCCCCGATTTGAACTATAAAATGGTGATTTTCTGGAGTCAAAATGAGAGTACCCCTAAACATTTTTTTAAGAAAAAAAGCACTGGGTATAATATATAAGGAGTGATTGTCCACATTAATATGAACAGTATAATAACACGTGCACAACTGTTTCAATGCACGATTGACTAAGACCAGACACATTGGTTGTAAGGAATGCATTAGTATCTCCCATCAAAGCAGAGGGTAAGGTGCTAAACTGGATCAGAGTAAAAGCTCTACAGCATAAGACACACTGCCCTCATTTGTTCAGGAGATGAGATTCCAGTTGCTTTGCTCCTCCCTGGTCATTTTGCTGCAGTGGTGCGCTAAACCATGGTTGGCTTTAGCATGTCATCCGAACCTGGGTTCATAGTTTAGCTCTCCCAGAAAAAAACATTAGGCTTGTGGTTTGTCTGGAGACAGATGAACCATGAGATTCAGATGACATGCTGAACCAAGCCATGGCTTATCTCAGTGCGACACAATGGCAAAATGGCCTTGGATTATTTTGATTGCAGCTCTACCAGTCTACAAAGGGGCTGCAGAATGCATTTCTTAATTTCAAAATCCGATTGTGATTGCTCAAAACAAGAAGATTTAATTTCTAATCCCCAGGGAGTCCAAAGTCTACCCCAGGTCCTTGGACCTTCCCACCTTGAAGTTTGGGTGGTCATGCCTGCACAACTTTTCTGAATGGGGATCAGAGTGACTCTTGGCCCAGTTGCCATGTGGATGCATGGAATCAACATTAGGGAGCCCTCTCAAAGCACCAAGTATAGGGTAAGCCCCTTGAACAGCTGGTTGTCTGGCATTCAGGAAGCGCTGCAGAAAGCC